GACCTGCAGGTTGAGAGAAGCTCACGCTTCTTTTCAGACTGGGACTGGGGGTCTTTAAAACCGGAGCTGAAATGATCAAAATAAAAATAAATACATTTCCAGGAACTGAAATCTGCTCAGCTTTTATTGTGAAAGCTCCAAGTTTCTGGTCCTTCTGACTTCGTTTGAAGGGATATTCTCCAGGTTTCACAGGCGGGTCCAGGGATGCTGGAAGAGTCTGGGCCTGAGGCGAGTCAGCGGTGGGTTTGGCGATGGTGGAGGGAGGTAAGTGGGACTTGGGTTCCCTCGTGTCTGAATGGTGGTGGGATAAATCAAACTCACAGCCTGTTCTCTAAACTTTACAGAGGCAGGATGATGAATCTGTACCTCTGAGCGGATGTTCCGTTGGTTTTGTCGTCGGTTCTTGTGTTGGAGCTGAAGCTGGATCAGGTTTAGCTGCAGCTGGAGCTTCAGAGCTGGTTTTGGTTACAGCTGTGAGGGGGAGATGGACCAAAGACACAGGGTCTGGCTGGTCCTGGGTCTTTTCCTTTGCTGAAGACGTGCCTGAAGAGAAATTATTTGTGGTTAACGAATTCAGATTCCCTTTAAACACGGAGTCGCGGCACGTTGAGGTACCTAAGTTAAATAAATGATCCGCTGCTCTGCGTGCGGACACCAGCGGGGACTGAGCGGGTTTGGCAGCGAGCGGACCCTCCAGACCGGGTTTAGTCTTCATGGCGATGACGGGGAAGTGAGGCTGAGGTTCATCAGCATCTGAAACATCAAGATCCAGATAAAAAGTGAAGAAAATGACCATTTTTCTTATCACAACAATCGGTTCAGACAGGAACTGACCAGGAGGGCTGAGGGTTTCTGCTGCACAGGACTCCTGGTTTGGTTTGGAGCTCAGAGGTCGGTGGGACTGAGGGAAAGCTTCAGGACTTTGGGTGGCACTACTGTTTTCTGTTGGAGGGTAAAAAACATACAAACAACAAGAATTGTAAGTTTAACCAGGCTGTGAAGCACTTGGTATGACAGTGAAGCTGCTCACCTGGTTGATCGTGGTTCTCGGAGGTCACAGAGACGTCTGAGACGGTTTTTTCTCCTTTCGTGATGGTTCCCTGCACAGCAAAGACAAGAATACAAAAAGCTGGAGTTTAAGTTTTTACTGAGGCAAAGAGAAGAGAAACTTCATTTAAAGGTGTACAAAATACAAATAAAGACTTTTCTTGTCTTATTTTTCCTAATGAAGTTGCTTTTTAGCAAACAAACAGAACTTTTTAATGTGCAGGGTGAGTCAAAAGTTTCAGGACACTCTTTTATTTCAGAAACAAAAAGGAAAAAAAAGAAAAACCTGAATGTTCCAGGAAGTAATCAGGTGCGAGCACACATGGCAGCTTTCAAAATGGTGGTCATGTTAAGCTAGACCCCGACAACCATTACGTACTGGGGTGTCAGGATGTTTCATTTTCTCTGTTCATTTCTGAACTAAAAGGACGTCCTGAGACTTTTGACTCACCCTGAGGATCACAAACAGAAATGTTTCCAAACGTGCAGCTCGCATGTTTCTGGACCATCGCTTTTTGTTTTCTGACAACACCTCTGCTCTGATGCGGCTAAAATGAATTTAGAGGCATTGTTTCTTTGGATCCTCAGCTGTTCATCAGCTTCTGCTTTCATGACAGCTGTAACCAACAAACCCAGGTTCCCACTGAGAGCTAATTTAGAAGCTGCCCCCTTTGAGAAGAGTTTCCTCTGCACTCTTCTTACACCCAGATTTAACCCTGAATTTGGAGCCGTAACCCTAAATCCAGGGTTTGGACAGTCGGCCCGGGCGTTCTGGTGTCTTCTTCTCATCTCCTCATGCTTCCAGGGGTCAGCAGACACTCGATGGTCTGATCAGCTCCAACTAATGCTCACCTCCACGTCAGCTTAGAAACATAAACATTAAAACTAACACCCATCATCTTCATCACCAGGACCCTGACAGTTCTGTTTAAATCCAGCCAGTGGTTGATGAGACATTTTGCTAACACACAAACACAGACAGAATGTTCTGATCTGGCGTCAGGAGCTGCGAGGTCTTTGATTCGTCACGTCGAGGCTGACGGTCGAGTAAAAACCAGGTGACCTCGTAGGAGAATGTCTGCAGGGAGTTTCGGTACGACAGCTGTTTTGTGTGTATGTGTGTGTGTGTGTGTGTGTGTGTGTGTGTGTGTGTGTGTGTGTGTGTGTGTGTGTGTGTGTGTGTGTGTGTGATAACTGACGTGGGCGTAGCAGCAATTCAACTTTCCGTTGGGAAACCTGACACTCGGATCAGCTCAGAGGCAGAGGTCCTGAGTGATGAGGCGAAGATCTATTTTTGTCTCCGTCTTCGGAGTGACGACCTGCAGCGTCACATGACCTGATGTCAGAGGAGGACTGGCGTCCACGCTCAGTGTTTACTGAAAACACATTTACATCACCTTTAGTTTTTAGCTGATATTGCTTTAAGAACCACTGACACATTAAAACTTTTAGCTTTTATTGGCCTAACTTTAGGTTTTAGTTACCATTTTGCTCATTTTAGTTTTAGCTACTACTTACCATTAAGCAACAGTTTTGCTAGTTTTAGCTTTTAGCAACAATTTTGTTATTTTCAAGTGTTAAATATGGTTTTGCTGTTTTAGCTTTTAGTTATAGTTCTGCTAACTAACTTTTAGTGCTTTGCTAATTTTAACTAACATTTAGCATTTTAGCCTTCAGCTATACTTCCTTTAACTTTTAGGTTAGCTATTATTTAGCATTAACTACAGTTTTGCATACTTCAAATCAGATTTTTACCTTTGATTTTTCTCATTTTAGCTTTTAGCTGCTGTTTTGTTATTTAAACTTTTAGCTATAGTTCTACTAACTTAAACATTTTGTTATAGTTTTGCTCATTTTACCCTTTATTTTCCATTTAGCTTTCAGCTACATTTTTGCTAACTTTAGTTTTTAGCAACAATTTAGTGATACCATGTTGCTATTTTAGTGTTTACAGTAGCTACCATTTTGCTCCCTTTAAATTATTTTCTTCTTATTAAACGAACTCAGTTTTAGCATCTTCAGCTAACTTAAAGTGTCTCAGCGTTCTTGGTTCATTTTAGCAGAAACAGCAGTTTCTGCAGCTTCGCCTCAGGTTTGTCATCGTGCTGTAGTCGGTGAGATAAGAGGAGGAAAAGCTGTCAAGCTGCCGCAGCCGGAGGCTCAAAGAGCTTCAGCTCAGTCCTGAATCAGAAMACCAAAAATACTCGTGGCCTTTGGAGGACCTGCTGAAAAAAAGTGGGTCACGAGCAGCCGAGTGCACACATAACAAGGCAGGAACATCGAAACAATGTGCTGTCATTTATTTTATACACATAAATATGACCACAGTTATAAAATATTCATGAATTTTAAATATTCATATTTAAAATATGTAATTTAAATTAAAATTATTTATAATATCTGACAACACAGGCTGTAAAATCTGTCACGCTGGTGTCAAAGGTCAAAGATTTACAATAGATGCTCCCTTTCTGCTCTGAAAATCAAAATCTTTTAGTCTCAGGAAAATGTTAATATTTTTCATTAAAAAATACAAATCTCTCAACAACCAAACTCTATCTTATATTAAAGATTTTATTGCTTCCTTCTTTTCCTAACAGAGTGCTTCTCTCTCAGACTGCAGGTTTATTTGTGGAAACTAGAGTTACTAAACAGGAGGCAGAGTTTTCAGTTCTGACTCAAACTTCCAGTTTCTATGAGATTTTTCAGTCTTTCCTTTGTAATAAATCCTATAGTTAGAATTGTTTTGGGTTTCCTGAGCTATCCTTTAGTCCCACTGCTACAGACTTAGACTACTGGAGAACAAACTCATTACATTTCCAGACCTTTAATCATCTGGCTCTGGATGTTTGTATTTGTGATTATTTCATAATTAATGTGTTTATCTTTGTCTTTCTGCCACACCTGGAATCACAGAAACCACACCTGGACTCACTGAACCACACCTGGACTCACAGAAACCACACCTGGACTCACTAAACCACAACTGGACTCACAGAAACCACACCTGGATCATAGAAACCACACCTGGATCATAGAAACCATACCTGGATCATAGAAACCATACCTGGACTTGTAGAAACCACACCTGGACTCACAGAAACCACACCTGGATCATAGAAACCGCACCTGGACTCGTAGAAACCACACCTGGATCATAGAAACCACACCTAGATTCGTAGAAACCACACCTGGACCGTAGAAACCACACCTGGACCATAGAAACCACACCTGAACTCACAGAAACTACATCTGGACTCACAGAAACCACACCTGAACTCACAGAAACTACATCTGGACTCACAGAAACCACACCTGAACTCACAGAAACCACACCTGGACTCACACAGACTTTTATAAATAAAGAAAATCAATGTTTTTAATGTATCTTCATATTGATCTCAGATCATTTAGCAGGATATTTCAGCAGAAAGACTCACGTTAGCCTCTGCTGGTCTCTTGACCCTCCATGGAGCCGGACTGCTGCCTGAATGGCTCCGTCCAGCGCCAGATGGTTCTGATTGTGTGGACTGGTTGTTTTCTGACCCAGTACTGTTGCTGAGTCCCGTCCGATCCTCTGGGTTCCCGGGTCGCTCCGGATCCTCCGTGCTTTCCTCCGGGGTCTTCCTCGTGGCCCCGGCGAGGCTCTCCACCAGGAGGCTGAGGGCCTCCATCTTGGCCCGGAGCTGCAGGTTCTCTTCTTGCAGCCTGCTCACAGCCTCGGCCAGGGGTCCGCTGGACAGGCGCAGCTCGTCGATCCTCTGCTCCACGCGCTGCTTGAAGGCGCTCACGTCCACGTGCACCTCGCTCACGGCGGCTTCCAGCGTGGCCCTGAACTCGGCGAGGACCTCCTGAGCTCCCACTCCATCCATGGTGACCTTTGACACCTGCTGTGTTCAAATCAAATGGATCTCTGAAACAAAGATTTACACGTCTTTTTAAAAAGTGTTTATCTGTTCCAAACTATCTGCTGGTTCCAGTGAAGCTGAAGATGACGTCTACAGGAGGGTTCCTCGACAGAAACTCCATGAAGATCTTCTCTCATCAGGCGGCTTCTCTAACTGTCTCGTCCCGTCTAATCTGAGCAAAAAGCAAACGCACTTGTTATTTATAAGTGGTGGAAAAACTCGGTGACACGGTGGAAAAAGGGATTAATGTTCCCGTACAGATCAGTTTCTCCTCGTAGCGTCGGAGTTCAGGAGTTTTCCAACTAACCTTTCAGGAGAAGCCAGACCAAGTGGTGAAACGTGCACCTACTGCTGCTCCCCCCACAACCCCCCCACAGTGTTGTCTGAGCTATGTTTGGTCCCTGAGCTGGTCTGCTGCTGTATTTTGGGATGTAAAGTGGTGAGGAGGGGAGGAGGGGACAAGATGATTCAGATGTTTGTATCTCCCTCAGCTCCATTTGAAGTTCAGAGTCGATTAACGGTGGGGCTCAGTTTCATTCTGGGGCTTCAAAGCAAAACCCCTTCCCATTGCAAAGTTGGCTCGAACCTGCAGCCTCAGGATTATGAAGCCATGGCACTGACCACTGAGCCACTGCTACCAAATCCCACCTGTTCTACGTGCTTCAGTAGGAAAAACCGTGAGGAACTACTTCTTGTTTGTTTCAACACTTTAACAATCAGATCATCAGAAGTAGTCTGAGGTGGTTTGGGGCCTGGAGCCGAATTTTATTTGAACACCTGTCCATACGCCACCCCCTCCCCTCAGGAGCTAAATCTGACTCAAGTCTGCAGCACCACCAAGTGGAACTATTACAACATTACAACTGAGTGATGCTGTTCTGACACTTTCACCAGTTTTTTTATTTAATACAACAGTCATTTCTGCATTGTTTTGGGGTGGTCACCTCCTAATAAATGTCCTTACAGAAAATCTAGCTGCTCATTTTATATGAATACTTTTACTTTTAATACTTAAGTACAAAAAATATCAGATACTTTAAGACATTTACTCAAATAATATTCCTAAAGGAGACTTTAACTTTTACAAAAGTAATTTTTTGGTAAGATACTTGTACTTTTACTCAATATCACTTTGTAGTACTTTACACAACACTGCATTTGAGCATTAAATAYGTTACGTTGTTGCATTGTATGTTGGTTTGATACAAACAGTTTTTAAATGGCAGTTTTGGGTACGTGACAGCTCTGTGTGGCCCTCTGTGTCAACAAAAAGTTGACCATCCCTATTCTACCAACTTCTGAAATCAATTAGATTCAAATTTTAAGATATGTAGCTAACATTTGTTGTGATAAAATTTTAAAAATCCTAAAGAGTACCTGTTTTTTTGGGGGGGAACTGAATCAGATTACAGGCTCTACTACAATAATTACCAACAATAATCCCAGTTAATCTGACCACACACTGCTGATTGACACCAGACCACGAGGCGATAAAAACAAAGCAGAGAGCCGAGYGGACCGGTCCATCAGATCAGATTTATTGAAGTTTAATAGGGTGCTCTGAATTCACAGGTTACAGCTACAGAACTCCTCTGGCTTCAGAAAACACTTCAGTCTCAATTCAGAGATTTTTTTTTCTCCAAAAAAGAAGTCACACTAGAAAAAACAGGACAGATGCATCGAGTCTGATATGTTTTTGTTTTTTTACATATATGTATGAAAACTTTGAATGTTATCAAAAATAAGTGGGGCAGGAAGTGTTAAAGGTTGTGATGCGTTTAAATGAGTCGGGAATGCCGAGTGATACGGACAGAAAAAAATCAAAACACTAACAAATCACTGCAAACATTGAGATATAATCGATGTTTTAAAGGGTTCAAGCTCAAACGATACATATAAAACATCTGAGGAATTATTGATGAAATGCTACAAAATATAAAATATCTATATAAAGATTTGCCTGCTATCATCACTCTAAACAGTTTGATTCAGCTAATTAAAACAAACTGTGATTCTTATGATTTCTTCCTTAATTTTACATTTGAATTATAAATACAGCCACAACCTGTAAACACTGCCTGCCGATGTTAGTTCTGCTGAAATCGTTTTTTTCTCAAGGCACTGGAGACCAAGTTTGGTTCTGTCCACAGGTCAAAATTAGTCCCAGCAACAGTTCATTGTTAATTTTTTGTTTCTCTGTGCTTGAAATGAAGCACGTCCAGAATCCGTGGAACAAAACGCAGCCGCGCAACTCAAAGATGAACCCTTCAACCTCACGTCTCACGCTTCAACCCTGACCCGATCAGAACCAGACAACCCTGAGCAGTCATGTGAGAAAACAGGAAGCAGAACAGATGATGAAGAAACCTGTTTTTGACGCCTCACTCGTAGCGTAAACCCTGATATGATAAGAGTGTTTTATACGTGTTTAAAGGTGATTTATGCTTCAGCGTCATGTCTATTTTCACATTTTGAAGTGGAACAAAATGCCCAAAGATTAGTGTTTGACTGGGTGTAGAGTTTGAAGCAGTCAGCTGACTTAATAAAACTCAAACTGGTTTTATTAACGCTGTTAGAACTGCTTTTTATTCACGAGGCAGCCATACTGGGTTTAACTTTTTAAGTTATAATTTTACTGTAGCATGGAAAACCTGACCTGAAGCTTCAGCCAGGTCCGAGTGTTTTTTAAAATAAATCACCGGAAAAGTATTTTGATTCACAGATAAGCTGAAGGCTCGTTTGTCGCAGTTTTCCTGTAAGTATATTTTAAAGTAAGCACAGGAAATGGCTTTATTTTTGTCGGCTGGCGCAGAAGTTTTGAGTGCTTCATCAAATATTCCAACTCAGGCTGAGAAGACGACCTGTAAATAAAAAATTGTAAGAGCTGGACTTTCAGGCAGGAGGAAGACTTATTTTAATAGCAGACATACTCCTTCACAAATACTGTATAATAAAGAAGTGACGGTGAAAAAAACAAAACAAAACATGAAATAAAAAACAGATGTTTGGGTCGATGAGAGGAATGTTATATTTATTTTCCTTAACTAAAGATAAGTTGAGCTGATTTAAGACTTTTTTTGTTTCTATAATTGAAATTAAAGATTTAAAACTAGTTAAAATAGCCGATCTCATTATATAATATTCATATGTTAAAAAAAGTTCAGTTTAAAGTTATAATTCTGCTGAAAGCTGGATGGAAGCAGAGCTGCTTCCTCTGCAGAAACTGTGTGTCTTCAGAACCCATCGACCCAAACGAGCTGGCCGGAGCTCAGACTGACGAGGCCGGAGCGACCTGCGGGTTTCTRACGTTCAGTGAAACTAAAACGAAGCCAAACTGCAGACGTTAAAGAAAGAAAGAGAAGGGAAACCAGCAAACAAAACATGGAGTTTGGGTCGTTTCCAGTAACGGTGGTGTGATCAGCCATGGACAAAAACAGGGGGGTCTGAACTYCCCCCATGGACTGCAGCCAGAAACGGACAAACGAGCCGCAGGGTTCTTGTTTGCCCCCGATCCTCCGACAAGCTGACTCAGCGCCTTTTACGAGTTTAAACTGTAGAATCTGACCCGTAAGACGAAGTATTTAAGTTGGTTTTTTTAATGACCTGTTGCTTTGATCCCATCAGAAAAACACAAAATGACTCAGCTCAGCTGCTACAGCTCTGCAGGATTTAGTAGCTTATGCGAACTTAGTGTTGCAAAATGTCCACTAATTAAATGTGAATATTTTAAACTAATGTTTAAGGTTTTATAGTTGATCTGTAAGAACAAATAAAAGCTTTAAGGACCACAGAAACCAGGTGAGAATATAAATAAAGGCTCCAGTTTTTTAATTATCTGAATTATTGTTTTAGGAATTAGGATGCTAAACTTATATTTTATTATTGTTTCATCAAACTTTCACTTCATACATTTTAAAATATATCAAAATATTCATATTTTACAACATTACAAGATTTCTGAAATTATATTAAAGCATTTTGCTATAATTAGGAATGAACTGTGAGATGAAATGTAGTGTAGGAGAAAACAAAACAAACAAAAAAAAACTAACAAATATTCCCTAAAAGACTAAAAAAATAAAACGAGGTGTGGATCACCTTCTTGACCTGATGTTAGTGCTGCGTCCGACTGAATGAACTGGACACGTAACGATGTTTAATACTTTACATCCAACAAAATCTACAATAAATGCCAGAAAATGTCAGAAAAACGAGTTTAAGTGCTTCACAACTCCAACACATCCGTAAAAATGGGAAACGAGACGAACGCCTGCAAGAAACATAAAGAAAACAGAGATTAAAATGTTTAAGGAAAACTTCACTTCCTGTTTCGAAGAACTAAACCAGGTGGGCGGGGCTCTGTGTGTTCTGGGAGATCAGGGAGAAAACCGTAAATCTGGATTATTCTGAGCGAGAATCGATTGTGAAAATGCTCTGAGACGTTCTCTATACGAAGTCTGGGCAGAACATGTTTTTTTTTAATAGTGGCGTATATGTGAAAGATTTTGTGATTGGCCAAGAAATCAGGAGTGGGTGTGGTTAACGCTGTCTCATAAAGGGTGGTCATATCGTTAGCATTAGATGCTGCGAGCTAACATTAACTTTTGGGGTCTCAACATTCACAGAAACCAATAATCTCTCCTGGACAGAGGAAAACATGTTGTGTGGCTGCTGCTTGACGGGAGGMGGGGCTAAAGGCTCGCTGCAGAGTGAGGGGTGTGGCTTCCAGGAGTTGGGTGATGGTGTTTCTCTTGGAGAGTAAAATTTAAAGATCTTTGATTTTAACAACTACGTGTTCATTCATTGTATTTTAACTATTTCTTTTATTTTTATTGCTTGTATTTTATTATCCACAGTGTTTTAGTCACTGTTAAAATGATCATTATGCTTCGCCGTGCACTTTAACTTCAACCATTTAGGTGGTATAATACTGTTTCCTTTATAGGGAATTGTTTTGGTTAGTTTACAAGTGTGCTGCAGACCTCTTGGTCAGGTGATATTTATAAATAAATATTTAAATAGAACCTCTCTTTGAGATCAGGTTTCTTAAACTGTCGATTATAAATCCAGCTGCACTGAAACACTTTGGGGGGGAGAAGATGAAAAACGATCTTAAAACCTGTTTCAGATTCATAACGTCCAGTATTTTTATGGTTTGTTTAAACTTAACGTCGGATCGAGCTATAGAGCTTTATTGATCTTTATTGATATTTATGATTTTTCTCAGTTTTTACAAACCTAACAGTCTGTTCCACATCAAGTCGAATGTTTTGTTTTTTAATCTGACATTTTTACCAAAATAGTTCTTTATGTGTTGGCACCCCTAAATAGCTGAAATAACACCAGATCATGTAAGAAACTAATAGTTTTTTTATATACATTTATAAGATACCTAAAAGTGAAATGCAACGTAGTGATTATCTTTTCATAAATTCTTTTTTTGATAAGTTTTCATCATCAACTTAATATTTACATTAATGGTCCTTTGTGGTCCAGATATAAAGTCCATCTGACTTTAAAAATACGTTTCTTTTTAAACATAAACTTAAACTCTAAAAAACTAGATGCTCAGTTTGACAGCAGATGCAGAAGTAAGATGWTGAAGTGAAAATAAAGTAAAGTTGGTCACAAATCAAACTTTGTAACAGTTTTTCTCTCTAAATATCTGGATTTTTCATTTTATTTTTCTTAAGTCTGCCTCGATGAACCCCGGCTCATCTTAAAGCTCTGACTCTAATCTGGCTATCAGTAATGTAACAATTCTTTAATCCCAAGCTGCCCTAAATTGGCCCTCACAGTCAGCTGATATGGTCCAGTGTAATCTAAGCAGAGATTATGTCTTCAAAATAAAATTCACATTAACAAACAGCAGTGATTTAAATAGAGAACTTAATCCACTTGGTTGTTTTTTGGATACGTTTAGTCAGACCTTCAGAGTTAAAAAATTTTAATCTACGAGGGAAAAAGGACTCAAAATAAAACTTTGATATTTGAGTTGATGGAGATTTGTGAACGGAAAACAAAAAAGTCACATTAAATGTTCATAACGCCAGTTTTTAGCTCTTAGGAGTGGAGGAGGTGAGGTATTTTTATTCACCGTTATTTTTTCCTGCTAATACTGCCTGAACGAGCTTCTCCATCCACCTCAGCTATGAATCCTTCTTTAATGAACGAACTGAAGACAGAAAAAACAAAAACAAAACTGTRACCAGAACGTGCTGAAACAGCCGCTCACTGTAACAAACCAAACCTCTCCACAGATAGCTCTCGCTTCACTCGGGCCGTCCTTCAGAGCTGCGGGTGTGAAACGCTTTAACTCCATCCAGGCTGGAGTTGAATCCAAAATGAAAATAAAAAGTAAAGTTCAGTAGTAGCGATAAATCGGAGGCGGAGAGGTCCACTTAGGCAGCAGATTTGTAACAGAGGAGTTAAAGTCTACGGAAAAAATGCCCCAGGATTTGTTGATTTAGTAACTGAACGTGCAGCTTCAGGTAGCAGCTGCGAAACGGACATCAATCATCTTTAGAGGGGGAGGCGGTGGGGGACRCAGCGGGGGACGACTGCGGCCCGCGGCTCCGCTGGTAAAGACGGTAGCCCTTCCTGCAAAGCAACACGAACCAGTAGACCTGTGGCGCCAGGATGCAGGAGTTGCCCAGGTTGGCGGAGAGCGGCAGGTGGAAGGGCACGCTGTAGAGCGGGATGCCGTAGTGGCGGCCGTACATCCAGTACATGAAGGGGAAGAGGGCAATGCGGCACATGAAGAAGGTGAGCAGAACCATACCTCCGTTGGCCTTGTGCAGCCAGCCGTCCTGGAGCCCGATCTGAGAAAAGGAAGGACAGAAACAAGAGAAGAAGGAGGGAAGAAAAAAATAAACACAGATTTCTATCAAGGAAAAAGCATTTCTGCTGTTTTTAGCAAATTCCTGACAGCTTGTTTGATGCAAAACAAGAACCTGAAGGTTTTTTTTATTAGAAGCATCTTCACACTTTGCTATCACCTGCCTTTTATGACGGGGTAAACATATAAATGTCTCCATGCAGAGGCTAACTGCTAATAGAGAAACTAGCTTCTCATTTAGCAGATTAGCTTTTWTGATAACTTTGTAAACTGTTAGCGGACCGATTAGCTTCCTCTAAATTAGGTTCCACTAAGTCCACTAAAAAAATTCACAAGTGTAAAACTCTATTTTTATGCCATTTATCCTAAATAAAATAAAAACTATCCCCTCTACAGTGCCTGGACATGTCAAGCTCCGTGTATCACTTTATGTAGCATCTTTAGCAGCTAAACTTCCAACTAAGACTATCAAAACAATATTTAAACAACAAATACAAAAACTAACTGGGTATAAAATATGGTAGAGAACGTATTTGCTATTTGTTGTTTGATTAACTTGAAACTGTATTTTTAAAAATACAAACACAATCAAATAAATGCTTTTATTCTGAAAAGGGTAATCTGGTCAGTATTACAAGTTAGACAGAAGTAACCCTGGTCTGGATTGGCCGATTTGTAGCAAATTAAACAAAAAGAAAATTAATAACAGGTTTGTGTCAGGCCCACCAGTCTTAGCGGTTAACATTAGTTTTCATCATTTGTTTAGCGGTTAGCATTAGCCGAGCTAACATATATTTAGTGGCTAGTAAGCATAAGCTTTTGGTTTAGCTGTGCCCACCACTGTCAAAATATCTGATGAACCGGTGGCAGAACTTTAAAGTTGACCTGATTCAAGATGGCCGCCACAGCTAACTGAGCTTAGCAAACATAAAACTGGCTCAAACTCCATCAGTTTTACAGATGGTGAATTAAAGTCAGGTGTGGCAGCAGCTGAGGGTCATTCAGAACAGATACTWTAAATGCTGACAGATCAGATGAGATCTTGTTTTAAACTCTGACCTGCAGGACAAAATTTCACTGCATCAGTTCGTGTTAAATATTTATCCTTCCAGTTGAAACATATTAATCTCTGCTGCACTTTTTTAATAGAACAACTTCCTGTTTTTTTAGTATAAATCATTTGTTCTGAGACAAAGAGGCAAACTGACAGAGCTGGAAATGTCAGCCTGAGTTTCTGCATGTGTCGTTTTTAATCCAAAAATAATTTTTAAATAAACTAGAGCAGCTTTGCTTTGCTCTTTTTCTTTGCTGGCACCAGATGTCAGCAAAGACCCGACGGCCAACTCTCCACTGGGTTTCAGAGGTTCCTCTAATTTTAGGTTAATGTTTAGATTAGATTAATGAACACGTCACAATGTGTTTATCAACGTATGGGAAGGAAAGAGCAGCTGATGTTTTCTGAAAAAACCAGGATGAAGTGTTATCTTAGCGGAGAGCTGCTGACTGATGGTTTTTGTTTTGTCGAGCCGTGCACCTTAATTATTGATAGAACAGCGACAAACTACCTTCCACATGAAATGGAGACACTCAGATTTTTGATTACATAAGGTCCTGCACCTTCTGAGAAAAAAAGAAAAAATAATCAACTTGTTTTTTTTTACTAAAAATGAACCTTTGAATAAAAACACTCTATTAAACACACTTTTTGTTTGTAAAGAGCTTAAAAAGTAAGAAAAACAAACAGAATAAAATGTACATAAAACAGTAAAACACAAATCTGAAGGCTTTAATCCCTCGTGGGTGTTTCAGATTAAAATAACTACAATATCCTCCTCATCCCTCAGATAAACAGCCAGGAGGGGGAAAATTAGCTTATTTTAATTATTTTATTTGTTCTTGTGAGCTTTCTGAAGTCAGTAAAATCAACCAGTCGCTGTTGTGCCTCTGGTCACTTCAGCTCAACATTTTTTGCTTTGTGATGTGAACCAAAGGCAGAACTCTTAATAAACGTTTTTTATGATGGTAAATAATAAAAACTGTTACTGTTGCTAAGCCACGGCGGGAGAAACAGCTGCAAGCGTTACATGATCAGTAAATGATTGCCCGACTCGACAGTGTTGGTGGTTAATCAGTGGGTTTTTTTTCCAACCAGCTGATATTTTCAGCATGCAGGGACCAGGACAGGTGCAGGACCTCCCTGCTGGTTTCAGGTGGATGCTCGTGACGTCTCACCTGAATGAGAATCTTCCCCAGGGAGACGAAGGGCGTGCTGAGCTCAGTCATGAACAAGCAGCCGATAAAGAAATCCCCCTGGTCCTTTCTGAAGAACTGAGGAACAGACAAACACAAGCTGAGCAAACCAGCAATGGAAAAACAACACAAACACAGCTGACGCTCACGATCATGTGCAAAAAAGAAAGAAAAAAAAACCCATCACTTTAAATAATCTGGTTTTTTTACTGACATGGATATAATAAAGCCATATTTTTAAAAAATAGAAAGCTGTTTATAATAAAACAAGATTAAATGAAACATTCCCTCCAATATTTACTATAAACACCTCCAACCTCAACATTTTAAAATGATGCTTAAAAGCCACCAAGAAATACTGACAGTTAGGTTAGACTTCGTAATATATATAT